TGTATAATGGAAGCTGGCAGATTCCTGTAATACAAATTACTGTTATCTAAGTATAAACAATAGCAATGAAGATACTGCAGGTTTCCAGTAGTAGAGTAGGAACGTGGCAAGCACTGAGCAATAAGGCAGCTGGGGAACTGAGCTACATAACCTTTCTGCTAGGCAGTGCATCTTAAGAGGCTTCGGGGTGTTCACAGTGGAGGAATAACATTTTTTATTTTTTTCTCCAGTGATTGAGTAGAGGTCTCAGCAAATATTTGGAGGGTTCAACATCTGTAAGACTACAGGGAAGTCCCAGGAACAGCACATAAAGAGAATGTGGGTGACAGAGAATAAAGCCTTTATGTTCAAGCTCTTGAACAACAAGCTTGGGGTGGTCTTTGCCCTCAGTCTCTAAACCATTTGGGAAAGAATGATACACCAAACGTCTGCCAGGTATCCTCACAGGATATCCACCAAATACAATTGTCTCAAGGCCATCAGGTCTAAATCATTGAGAGATTTTTCAGTTATCACTTCCCAACACCAGAGGTGCACCACCCTTTCCACCACGAGGTTTACCAGTGAAGAAAAATTGGATTAATTTATTCGAATGCTCTGTTTCAAGCAAAGCTGCCCACAGCCCATGTAGTCTTGCAGTTACAAACTGAATTAACAGCACTACACAAATGCATTAGTTGTGGCACACAATATAGATCAATATGAAGAGTAAGTCAGATGCTTCCAGTTTATATGTAACTTCACTTAGATTTAAGTCAACTAACACAAACAGTTGGATTTTAGGATTGGCTCCAGCTTTAACTTTATGAACTCAGGTGAACAGAACTATGACGCTTACTCACTATAGACTCAAATATACTCACTATTTCATCAGTTATCACCTATTTTTGGAAGTCTCTACCACAACTACATTCAGAAAAGGCAATAAGCAGCCCCTCAGCATTTGGGTTATGCCAGGTAAGGCAGGCTGGCCACCTGTTCACGTTAATGGGAATTCATGCTAACAGGAATTGATGCAGAGTGGCTGTGGGCATGGACGGGGTTCCTTATACATTAAGGGAAAATCCTTGGCAGCTCCCTACTGTAGTTTACCCTGGTAATCGCATGGGTATGCACAACCATACCTGCTAACATCAGCCGTGACCGTCTGTCCCAGAGCTCCTACAGACTGCCAAGCTTCCCACCGTCCCAATCTCCATTAACGAAGCTGGAGGTGAGGGAAGACGAGTTAAAAACCACGGAAGCCAGCCCCAAACACACCCCCCAGCACCCCTTTAACAGCAAACATGCCGAGCCAGGAAGCAGGGCCCCACCCAGCAGGGCGGCACCCACCTGCACACACACCCCACGGGCTCCCCGGGGTGCCGCTTCCCCCACGGCCCCATGAGCCCTATGCCGGCCCCTGCCCCGGCCGGCGGGCACCGAGCTCCCCCGGGCCGTTGGGCTCGGGCCGGGGCTCGCCGCCCCTCAGCAGCAGGGGGCCGGGGTGCTGGGGGTGCCCTGCGGGGCCTGGGCCGGCCGGGAGGGGGCTGCAGGGGCCGGGCTGAGCCGCCCTTAAAGCCCGGCTCCTCCCCGGGCCGCCTGAGGGATCACAGCCGCCATGGAGCCCGCCCTGGCAACGGCGGGGGTGGATCTGTGTGCGCCGTGAGCCCGTGACGGGACCTCGGCGAAAAAGCCCCATTTCTGGGCAGCGAGAGCTCACCCTGTGCCCCTTCCTGGTTTGGGGTGAGGGTTAGCTTAGTGTTTTGTTTGGTTTGGTTTGGTTTTCGGTGGTGGTGGTTTCTTTGTTTGTTTTGCTTTGTTTTCAACGTTTACATCCCCATAGGGCACGAATTCTTGTAAACTCAATGTCTCCTTTTAAATTATAAATCTTTCATACGCACATATTTTACTCCATCAAAACCACCTGCAGTCGCGGGGCTGGAAATTGCTGGATATCCATGCGTAGCGCCGGTTACCCACCCAGACAAGGCACTCACTATTCATTTGCACTTGAAATTAACAAGGTGCTGTGAGAGAGTTTTAACCACCTCAACCTCGTTTTATATTCTATCTTGATGCACATAAATGGATCAAGCCTTTATTTACTTCCAGGCTTTTTAATGGTTTACAAACAGTTTTTGACACTATTCCTAATAGCTGAGCCATCACCTTGCAAAAATCTACTTCATCCCCATAAACCTTGTTCCTGTTACATCAGTGCTGTTATGGGCAATGCTTAAATTCTGCTGAATAAAGGAAAATAGTAAAATCCCCCGTGATTCAGTTAAAATCAACGATGCCTGACAGCGTGCCCTTTCCTGCACGTTGCCTAAGCATCTGCCACATGCAGAAGTCCTAGAAAGTTAAGTTCTTTAGACTCACTTCTGCAGTAGGACTGCTCAAAAACTGACTAACCAGGATCTGGGGCTAGGATGATACTATGTTTAGTAAGGCTTAGCACACATCTAGCACATACACATTTTTAGAAATTGAGGCCCCAGACCTTTTGGGGAATGTTATATATGCAGTGGTAATTCGTGTCGAGAAAATGGTTGATATTAATAAAGAAAGGGGAGATTTGGGAGTGTGGCCATGGGGGTCAGCAAGTCCCGTGGTTGATGATAACATCAGACTCTTAACGATGAGGCCATCAGGAATGTAAAAGAGCTTAGAGGGAAAAAGGAAGGGTGATTCAGGAGATGCCATGCAGTCTCCGGTTTCTTGTTCTCCATTAAGGCATGGAAGTTTCTGGGTGTTTGCTGTTGCTGTTATATGCAAAGTTGTTTGACCAATGAAAAGTTGTTTTTGAAAAGGACTGCTGTGGGGAGAAGGGTAGAAGAGGGGAGCCTGCCCTCAAGATAAAGAAGGCAACACGATGAAGTTATGTCATCAATAAAGAAGCAGAAAGAAGGAATGAAGAGGAACAGGCCAGCAGAACGGAGACCAGGACGGGAACAGTGACATTGATTGCCCCATGAAGATAGGTATGGCCAAACTCACCAAACTGCTCAGAGAAGCTCGCACAGAAAGTCGCTGGAAATGGCACACCGGAGCTGGAGAGAAGCTCAAGCTGAGAGAAGCGGAGCCACGCACACAGCTGCCCCTCACTGGTAAGCAGCTGCAATTTGTGGGGAATCATACATGTACGTCCTTAGGAACAAAGACTGTCCTGGTAACCTTACAGCTTATTCTCCTTATTGACAATCAGACAGTTTATGAGCCTGAAACATGGGACCAAATTGAGGTCAAGGTGTGGGACTCTGCTACTAAAAACGACAAGGTTGCGGTGGGATTGCTCAGCACCTGGCGAGCAATCTCTGAGGCCTTAAAGAGCCCTGTGGGACCACAGTCAGAAACGTGTGGTTTGCCAGACAGTGAGGGAGCTGCGGGCTCCTTTACTGATCCTTCTGCTACGCCATGGGCCCCTCTGCTGCTACAGCCATCCAAGGCTTTTGCTGTTCCACCCCCTGCTGACCTGGACGTGCCTTTTGACCCAGGCCTATTGGCCTTGAAAAGGAGACTGGTATGTTTTTATTCGATCCAGGAAGATTAAGATACATAAGGCCTGAAGACCGAGTTGCTTGACAACTTAAAGCGAGACATATTGGTCAAAAGGAATGGAAAATGGAGACTTGTATGTAATCAAGAAAAGGAATGGGAAATGGAGACTGTTAAGTCGTGGAACTTCAAGGATTCTTTGTTACCTTTTCTGCTTGTGATTATGTATAGGCGTACTCGATTTTAGTAAGTAATAGAACTTAAAGTATTGTTTGTTACCTTTCCTGATTGTGCGTATGTGTAGGCATACTCGGGTTTAGTATGTAAAGCAACGTGCTGTATATTTAGAAAATTGATGTTTGTGTGTGCGTGTTGGTGGAGCGTAGACTCCCCGCACACCCAGCGCTGTTTACTTGCCTTTTATACCTTTTAGAAATATTTGTTTTATAAATATTACAAAATTCAGATTGAGTTGAGACCTCATTTATAACACTTTGGAGACTCAGGAGTTGGCCTCAGCGATCCTCGTGGCTCCCTTCCAGCTCAGGACATTCTGTGGTTCTATGACCCCACTGGAGAAGTGGTGAAAGGCGACAACCAGACCAAGATACGGTAGGTTTGCCAGGATGGATTTTGGTGCCGAAGTTTCCTCCTCAAGTCTACTTCAGCCATGAGCTAGGGACGGCCCTCTGTGTGGTAACAGGCCCTGGTGCTGAGGTCACAGTGTATCCCTCCTACATCCCTCTGCTGTGCGTGCCAGCTGTGGCCCAGTTGCTTGTGGGGCCGGTAGGAGGAGGACCCAGAGAGAGCGTTGTGTCTATCTGGGGACATCCTGCTGCGATGGAGAGGCTGAGAGCCCTTAGCGGTGAGGGGCAGCGGGAGGGAGGTTGGGGGCTGAAGCAGGACCGTTCCCAGCAGGCTGCTCGGGGCTGCGTCTCCTGCAGAGATTTCTCTCCCAGCTGGCCAAGATCCTCGTCCCTACCAGCTCCAGCCCCCTGCGGCCAGCAGCACCGATGACACCTGCTCCGTTCTTTCCTTCCTTCCAGGTGTGGGCTGCTGGCCCAGACGTAGCCGTCGCCAGGGCAGAGGCAGGGTGCCAGGGCCAGTCCCTGAAGCGGCCCCGACCTCTGCCAGTGTTGTGACTTCTCTGCTAGCGCGCCTGCAAGACGAGGAGGTGAGCTGGGGGCTCCCCACCATGATGCAGCGGGGGGAGCAGGGGGAGCCTGTGCCTGGCGGCACCTCTGCCCTCCTGGTTTTGTCATCCAGAAGCCCCGGCACAGGGAAGTGCCCAGCCTGGAGCTTCTCAAGGAGCAGTCATTTGCCCGGGCCCCATCCCAAGGTCCCCTGGCTGCCCAAGCCCAGAGGCCAGGGGCTTTGTGTCCCTCTTGCAGCTTCCCAGCCCCAGCAGCACATCCCTAGGCTCTGCAGAGCGAGGGCGGGCAGCTGGCGGCGCGCTGGCAAGAGGAGCAAAGCAAGTGCAAGTGATCCCTATGGTGCTCTGTCCCCAGGGCGACAGAGCGCAGACTTACTGCGAGCTGGAGACCGTCTTGTGGGGAGATGACAGCTGCCTGCAGTGCGGTGTCGTCAACCGGCTGCTAGCAGAGGTGTCCTGGGACCTGACAGCTGACCAGGTGAGATGGTGCTCTTGGAAGGCGAGGGGAGCAGCCTGCCAGGCATTGGAGGGCAATGCGGAGCACACAGGCAGGTTTTGCTGGCCTTGGGGCCCCACAGAGGCTCTTGAGCCAACCTGAGCCTCTGTTTCAGGGCGTGACGGAAGACACGAAGGTGGCTGCCAGTGACGTCCTGGTGGCTCTGGCCCGCTCCCACTTCAGCTTCGTGCTAGCCGAGCTCCTGGCCCAGCTGAATGCCCCAGGGCAGATCTCCAAGGAGTTCGTGCTCATCACTGTGGGCAAACTCCTCAGCACCAACGGTACGGTCCAGCACCTGCCATCCTCCCTCCCTCCCTCCTTCCCTCCCTCCCCTCCCGCTTTGGGCCAGGCTGGGAGAGCTGGGATAGAAAGGGATCCTTCCCCTCTCCACGCAAGCCGTGCTGAGCTGGGGGGCACCGTGGCTGCAGCGCCTCCTCCCTCGCTGCCAGTGCCGGCTGGGGGCTCTGACCGTGGCCACTCTCCGCTCTCTTCGCAGCCCTGCAGTGCATCCCCTTCATGCGCGTGGTGCTGTTGGGGCTGCGCACCGTGGTGGGCCAGTTAGGGAGCGGCCGGATCCTGCGTGCTGCCTGCGGTGGTGAGTGGACCCTGGGGAGGGGCAGGGGCAGGGGCAGGGGCAGGGGCAGGGGCAGGGGCAGGGCAGCCCCTGGCACCTCGCTCTGGTCTCAGAGCGGGCATGGCGGGCCTGAGCCCACGCTGCTGCCATCCCAAAGCGTTGGGGGCGCCTGGAAAGGGTGGCTGAAGGTTTCTGTGGGCTGGAGGTGAAGGTGCCCGGGAACTCCTGGGTCCCTTTGCTGCCTTCCTGGGCTTTCCTACCGGGTGAATGTGCCCTGATGGGCAAAAATGGGGCTTCCAGCAGGCTGGCGGGGGGTGCCGCTCCCTTCCCTGCTCCAGGCTCCTTTTTCTCTTCTCTTGCTGCAGCTCTGGAGCAGTGGGCCAAAGTGGTCAACGTTTACATCTGCACCTGGAAAGGATGCTCCTTGCCTGCTACGGAGAAGGAGCAGCTCTACGAAAACCTTGCCCAGGTGTTCTGCTCTGTGCCAAGCACCTTGCTGGACTGCCAGGAGGAAGAGGTGAGAAGTGCTGCTTTCCCAGCTGGGGACGGCAGCAGGGATGTCCCCTGTGCCTGTGCCTCTGTCTGTGCCCAGCGGGCTGGCTGCAAAAGGCCCCAGACTGGCTCTGTGCCTGGGGCTGGGGGCTCCCTGCGGGGAAGCAGCTGAAGCCCAGGGCATTTGGGCAGGCAGGGCGGGGGGTGAGGGGTGGGGAAAACCTCTCTGCCCTCCAGAGCAAGCCCATCTCCTGCAGGGCAGAAGGGAAAGGGCAAGGGGAAGGCCTCTCTGTGGGCAGGGCAGACCTTCAGCCTTTGACGCTGGGCCTCCCCGCTTCCTCTCCAGGACAAGCAAGCCGTCATCGGGGCCGTGACTCCCTTGATGCGTGTCCTCCTGCACAAGGAGGAGCACCGGGAGCATGTCTGGGAGCAGCTCCTCTGGCTCCTGCACCAGTACCGGACGGTGCAAGACGCCTCCAGGGTGACCAAGGTGAGGTGTGGCGCAGGGCCTGGCACGGCCGTGGGGTCTGTGCAAGTGGCACGAGGGCTCAGGGGCTGTTTGCACAGGGAGCTCTGTGTCTGTGCACAGTTGCTCCATTTGCAAGTGGCTTGACATGGCTTCGGCCCTTTCTTCCTCTCCCGTTCTCTTGCAGAGCCTCCTTTCTTTCCTGGAGGCCCTGGAGCAAGTTCAGATCCCCGTCCCCAAGGGCAAGTGTCTTGCCATTAACAGCGTCGTGTACAGCGAGGTAAGGGGAGCCTGCACCCACACAGCCACAGCAATTCCCTCTTGGCTGAGTCTCGGGAGGACTCCAGAGCCCCGAGTCTTTGAATGCTGCTCAGCCTTGGCTCCTGGGTGGCTCCTGGGTGCTCCAGACCTGTGCGTGGGTCCCTGGGGATGCTGTGGGGTGGGCTGGGTTTTGGCTGGGGGTCCTCTTGCCACCAGTGCCCAGGGAGATGAGAGCTGGTAGCGCTGTTTCTTTTCGGGCCCTCTCAATGCTGCTGGGACTTTCTCCACCATGTTCCCACCTTGTTCCCACAGCTCACTGCCGACACCAAAGAGCACAGCCAGGACCAGAAGGCAGAGCTGAGCCAGTGCATCCTGCTGCAAGGTAAGGAGAGGAGCTGTGGCGATGCCCCATGGTGTCCCGGCAGCTCTCTCCCAAAGCTCAGCAATGGGGGTAAGCTGCTTGCTAATGCAGGATGGGATTTCCTCCCCACAGCTCGCATCTGCCCAGAGGAGACGATCCTGTTCCTGGAGTCCCAGCTGGGCCACGAGAGGGAGGCCGTGCGCATGGCAGCCCTGGGTCTGCTCGGTGCTCTGGCACGCTGTGACGGTCAGTACTGCGGGGTCAGGGCTTGGAGGGCTCTCTTCCGCCCTCTGGGCTGTGCCTCCACGCATGCCTCACTGGATCTCTTGCAGAGCCCGCGATGGCAGAGAAGCTGCCCCAGGTGGTGGAGGCTGTCAAGCGTGTGTGCAGGGACCCCAGCATGCGGGTGAGCTGCTTTGGGAAGGGACTGTGCCGTCGGGGTGGGGTCGGGGTCGGGGTCGGGGTCGGGGTCGGGGTCGGGGTCGGGGTCGGGGTCGGGGTCGGGGTGGGAGAGCAACCTTTTCCCTCAGGGCAGAGGCAGAGCCTGGCAAGGCTGGACTAGAAGGGCTCGGACCCAGGCAGCCATTTCCCCGCTCCTTCGTGTTTACCGGAGGGAGGGCTGACAGCCAGAGGTGATGCCGCTGCCAGCATGGGCAGGTCCCCGTGTCCCTGTGCTAAGCACACTTGACCCCTGGCAGGTGAGGAGGGCAGTTCTGCACTTCATCAGGGAGCTGCTCAGTGCCAATGCCCAGAGCTGCTCAGCGTGGGACGTTGTGGGCTACATCTTCAGCGAGTTCAGCCGGAGCTCGAGCAGAAGGGTAAGGCCAGCGTGCAACATCTTCCCTGGGGAGATCTGCTGCCAGGAGGCTGGCATGGGAGCCTGCTGGGGCCACGCCTGAGCCTTCTGGGGCAGGAACTGAGAGCAAGCGGGGCGGGGGGTTCCCAATGGTGTCTTGCAGGCTGCGGGACTCCTGTCTGCCCAGGAAGCCCAGGAAGAAGGAGCTCTCCAAGGGCTGTGCATGGACGTCCTGGGGTCACTGGACATCTCTGTGAGAGGGATGGCCAAAGTAAGTCCTCCTCTGTCCTGCTGCTGCTGCTGCTGCTCCTCTCCTCTCCTCTCCGTCAGGCCATTTGTTCCTAGCCCCCTTTGCACACCTGAAGGCTCCCCCCCAGCATGCTCTCAAATGCTCAGGGAGATGCACACCATCCTCCCCATCTCTGAGCTGAGGCAGAAATGCTGACGGGCTGAATTGTCTCATTGCCTACAGCTCCTGTGGCCGAGGCTGCTGATCTATGTGATGCCAGCCAAGTACACGGGCATGCTGATCCCCCTCTCGCGCTGTCTCCGCGCCCTGGCTGAGAGCAATGAGCTGACAGCAGGGCACGAGCATCACGAACTGGATCCCGATGTCCTCAACGCCCTGTTGCAAGGTAGGAGTAGCAACTCCCCCAATGCTGACCTCTGGGTCTGCGCCCTGCAGGGACGGCAGCGTGGCAGGGCACGGTGTGGCTCGGCATCTCACCCAGCATTTCTTTCTCCCCGCAGACACGACGCTGACTCCGCACAACTTGCTGGCTCGCCTGCTGGTGGTGGCGGGGTCTCCTTTTGCGGGCAGTGACCTCCAAGCTGCTGCCTTGCTGGTGCTGCAGAGCCTCCACAGCAGGATCCACGGAGCTGTGGGGGCCACGTGGAACAGCGAGATTCCCCTGCTGCTGCAGTACCTCCAAGGTAAAGTGCTGCTGGGGAGGGGGAAAGGGAGGGAGGGCATGGCAAGTCAGCTTCCCAGCATGGCTAAGGGGAATCCCCGCCTGGTGCCCAGTGCTTGTTCTGCTGCCGTTTCGTTTCCCTGCCGGGGAGCCAGCACTGAAGCTGGGGGGAGCGGTCCCACAGCCATCCATTCGTCCCGGCCCTGGTGGCACCTCCATGGCCCTGCTGGGGCGGTGCTTGTGGGGAGGGACGGACGGCTGCCTCTGGAGCGGGTGCAGCCACCAGCTTCCCTGGGCCAGGCCAGCTTTGCAGCAGCTCTTCTGTTGTGGCTTGGTCCCAAGCAAGGTTTTTGTCTTCTTTCTAGGAGGAAAGGGGAACATCCCAGACGCTGCCGAGTGGGAGCGCCGTCTGCTTCAGGTACTGCAGCCCTGGGAGGCGTAGCATATAGATAGAGGTGGCATTCCCCAGCTGGCAGGGGTGTTTCCCAGGCACCCCACTCCTCCTCCTAGAGGAGTCTCTCCCTTCTCCCACGGGCCACAGCTCTCGTGGAAGGCCACTCTGGCGTGGCCGTGTGCCTTGGCACTGCCTCTTCCTGCTTGTCAAAGGCCAAGAAGCATTCGCTTCCTCTCCTGTTCTCTCCTGCAGTTCCTGAGGGCATCCCTGGAAACCATCGGGGACGACGCCTGGATCAAGCGCCTGAGCTGTGCGCTGAGCCAGCGGCTGGACAGCTCTCCCAGCAGCTCTGGGGAGAAGGTCGGTTCCCTGCTCGGCTCTCCCCTGGCAGCGCAGCCACGGGGCCCCCGCCCACGTGCGGGGCTGGGGCTGGGGCTGCAGGCGCTGCTCTGCCCACGAGGGCTGTCTGCGCTGCTTCCCCGGCCCTTGCCCCCCGCGGCCTTTCCCTCCGTGCTGAGCGGGGCTGGCGAAAGCCCATCCCTGCGTCCGGGCTCGGCTGCTCCCCGTGCGCTGGCGCCTGTCCTGCTCTGGCCCCGTTGCAGCACGCCAGGCTCTTGCTGCATCTCAGGCTCGGCTTCTTCCCTTGCAGGCTTTCCTGTACAAGGCTCTTGGGACGACGCTGGCAGCTTGTCAGGAACTCCCACACGTCCAAGAGAACCTGCTGCACCATCTGACGAGAGCACAACCTGAGGAGCCATCTGAGGCCCAGGTGAGCTTCCCTGCTCTGTCCCTGGGCCCTGCTCCAGGCCTTTTCCAGCTCCTCATCGCTTCCCGCCACTGTGAACGACTGGGCCTGTGCCAACTGTCCCTCGCTCTTTTGTTGCAGGGAATCATTTCTCTCGTCTGCCAAGCCGCCGACAGCCACTTCCGCCTGGCCTTGGAGACACTGACAACATTTGCTGCCACCTCGAGCAGTGTCCGGGGCCTTAGGGTTTCCAGAGGCAGGAAGGTGAGGTGTTTGGGGTTTCCCTCCCTGGCTGTCTTCCACCTGCTCTTCATCGTGGGCTGTGGGGGGCCATGGGGCGGACGTCTCACAGCATCTCTTGCAACGCAGACGCCCCAGGCCAGCAGGAGAGCTGAGGCCACTTGCAGGGCTGTCATGCTCGCCCACAGCAGCATGGCACTGCGTGCCTCCAAGGAACAACTGCTCGCCCACGTGGAGGCAGACATCGCGGGCAACATCCTGCTGCTCTCCATCTCCAGCAGCCAGGTGAGAGCTCGGGGCGTGCAGGGGCAGGGCTGCACCTGAGCTGGGCCGTCTCTTTCTCAGGGTCCCCCGAGGAATGGTTTGTCCCAGCAGGAAGATCCAAGGCCTTCCCCTAGATTTCCCCCGTGGGCTCATGTTCCTCTCGCAGCCCGTGGCCCTTCCTCCAGTTCCAAGGGTTTTCTTCTCTCTTGGGCCCCAGAACTTGCAGACCAATCTTGCCCTGGCGCAGAGCATCCTTGAGGTCGGCTGTGCCATCCACGCTGCGGGGAACTTGGGCAGCTTCCATCCTGTCCTGAAGCACGAGCTGCTGCTGATCCTGCAGGTGAGTGCCCAGAGCCAGGGCTGTCTTGCAGGGGAGTTTGGGGCCATGCCAGGAGGCAGGAAGGTCTCCCTCAGCCGCGTGGGAGCTCCTGGAGCCGTGTCCCCAGCTGGTGGGGGGGGCCCTTGGGTGCTGGCAGGCAGTGGCCATGGCTGGGCAGCCGCTGGGGAGCTGCTCCATCCTGCAGCGCCCCTGTGGGAGCTGCGGGAGCACTGCAGCCAGTGTCTGGCAGGAGTGCCCGTCCCCAGGCAGGTTGCGAGAGCTCTCCTGTGCCCAATGCCCACTTGGCAACTTTCTCTTGCAGAACTTGATGAAGACGACTCTCTGGGGCTTCCCGGCAGCGTCCCTGCACCTGAAGGTGATTCTGGCCCTGGAGCAGTGGAGGTAAGAGCGAGGAGCTGCGGGGGCTGTGAGGCGGGATGACGTTCCTCCTGTCGGGGAGCTCCCAAAGAGCAGCACTCCCTGCCACAGCCTAGGCTGGTTGGATTTGGGGCTGTCAATGAGGACAAGCCCAGATGCCATGTGACCCTCTCTGGAGAGTGCTAGGAAATCCTCTTTTTTTGTTTCCCCTTGCCAGCAAGCTGGAGATCTCGTTCAGCAGCAAGGAAATTTGCAGCCTGCTGTCTGACTGCTGCCGGGCCATCCTGCCACTTCCTTCAGCGGCTGAGCAGACTGGGGAGATCAGGAATGCAGAGCAGGCAGTGCTGCAGCTCCAGGTAACTTGCTGTCCCTTCCCTGCCCACCTCTCGCTCAGGACAAGCTGCCCTCCCCAGCACAAGCTGTGTGCTGGCAGCAGCCATGATCCTGCATCTGCGTCCCTCTCGTCCGCTTTCAGTCTCTGCACATGGCCACGAAGGCTCTGGGCCGGCTCATGGCAGTCCTGCTCAAGGCAAAGCCAAGCCCTGTCGACTTGGTAGACATCGCCGAGGTGAGTATCCATGGGGCGCTGGGGCAAGCGTCCCTCCTGTCACCAGTGGGGAATTAGCAGAGGAGCAGGAACCTCCTGCTGCCATGCCAGGTGACTGTGAGCTCGGGGAGGCCAAGAAGTGGGCCCTGCATGGGGGAAAGCCAAGAGGCAGCCCCTGGCTGGCTGCAGCAGGGAGCTGGCTGCAGGGAAAAGCTCCTGGGTGGGAGCAGGTGCGTCTGAAGAGAGTGGGGCAGTGCCGCAGGGAAAGTGCCAGGAAGGGAGGGAAATGGAGAGGGATGGTGGGAAGGGAAAGATGCCCCTTGGCAGACAGAGCTGCTTTGCCCCAGGTGCTGTGGTTCTGGCTCTCCTCGGACGATCCGTGGGTGTGCAAGAAAGCCCTGCAGGTCTGCGCCCAGCTGCTGGAGGACTGCAGAGATGGAGTGGCTTTTCAGGTGAGGAAGGATGCCCAGCGTGTGCCCCCAGCTGCAAGGGGGCCTGGCAGGGCAGCTCTGCCCAGCTGTGCACGGGCTGTGGGGTCCCCCAGCGCAGCGCTCTGGGGTGGCCCCTGTGCCCAGTCCTGGCCTGAGCAGGGCGCAGCTGGGAGACGCAAGGGAGTGCTGGGGCCACCTCCAGCCCTTGTTCTTCCTCTCGCCCCTGCAGACAAGAGGTGCCTACCTGCCGTTTGGCACCTTGGCGGGATTGCTGGGGCCTCTGACCTGTGAGCCCACGAGCAGCTCCCGCCAGCTGGCCGCTGCCTGCCTCAGCTCCCTTCTCCACATCCAAGGTGAGTGTGAGTAGAGCAGGCGCCTGCCGGCCCTCTGCCCCGCCTGGCCCTAGCGGGAACCTGGCAAGGGCCATCCCGCTGCAGCGAGTTCAAGACTGACTCCCCTGGCCTTCAGCAAAGGCTGGGAAGGGAAGTTCAGTTGCCCTAAGTGGGACTCCCCTTTTCTCCCCGTGCTCGTTGCAGCCAAGGCCACGAACAGGCTGTTGGAGACAGACGACCCTGCGAGCTTGTGTGAGGGGCTGAGTGCTCGCAGCGACGCCTCTCAGCAGCTCCAGACCTCCATCCGCATCGCAGAGGTAAGGAGTGCCCTCAAGCTTGCCTTATGTTCTGAAGAGCTGGAGCGGAGCCGTGACGGGCTCTCGATCTCTCCTGGTTCTTGCATCTTTCCAGGTCGTTTGCAAAAACGTCCCCAAAGAACAGGCCACAGACTTCATGAATGCCATCCTGGGGCCCTTCCGGCATTCCAGAGGAAGGCGTGTGTGTGCTGCAGGCAACTGGATGCTCACCTTTCTGGAAGCGTGTGGCAAGGACATTGGTCCAGACGTAAGAGACATTTTGCCATGCCTTGGACTTTTTTGCTTTGGCTGTCGCACCACACATCTTGCCGTTTGTGTGCTAAAGAAGCTCTCGGTGCAGAGTCAGGGCTCGGGCAGGGTGCTAGGGGTGAAATTTCGCCTTCGAGCGTGAAAGCGTGGCAAGGGAGCAGGCGTGGCTCATGGGCTGAACGTCCATGTTCCCGTGCCAAGACGTTCTTTCTCCCCTGCTTCTTTCAGGTGCGAGGAATCGTCTCCGCCCTGCACACCTGCACAGAGTCCATGCTGGAGCCCTCGTTCGTGTACTTTGTGCAGCAAGCGGTGCTGATCCTGGCCCGCCATCACCGGGAGCTCACGATAAACGTCATCCTTGAGAAGTTTGTGCCTCTGGACAGGTACATGCGCTCCTCCCTTTCCTGCTGGGCTCAGAGAGCCGTAGCTTGCCTCCCCTCCCCTAGGGCGATCCAAGGGGAGCAGCAGCTCCTTCTCCTCCAGCCAAATGTCGGAGGTGTGCTTGTAGCACTGGTAACAGAGCATACAGGCTCATGGTTGCACATCTCTTGGCAGAAACACACTGGAGCTGTGGAGGACTCTGGGGAGAGCCAGCATTGGCCTCGGTGTGCTGAAGCACTTAGCGAGGAAGCTGAACAGAGTGGGAGACGACAGCTGCCAGCCCAGCTCGCCCACTCGCAGGCTGCACGCCCACCAGCCTTCTCCGGAGTCCTTGACTGTACGTTCGGTGGCAGAGGCTTTGTGCCTGCTCCCCCACTCCCAGTCCGAGGGCAAGGCGTTGGGTGCCCTTTGCAAGTGTCTCTGCTGCAGTGTCTCAGCAGTAGCAGTTCGGGACGGCCGGGACAGCCGCTGCTCCCAGGCTGCAAGGCTGTCCCGGAGACGGGGCGTGCAGGCAGTAGAAGTGCCCCAGGCAGCCAGCGGGCCGGGGCTGGTGGCAAAGCTCTTGTTTAACAGGTGCTTGTCGGGTGCTCTCATTTCCCTGCAGGTCACCCGTGCCATCTCCGTAATGGTGTCCGTGCAGTACAAGGAGGGGGTCCAGTGCTTGCTTCCCTCCCTCCTCCCTGGGCTCCTGCTGCAGCTCAGCAAGGCACTGGGGGAAGAGATGCTGTCTGCGCCCCTCAGCCCCTGGAGAGGGCACGCTGAGGATCAGCGGCAAGAGGGCAACGTGTGCAGGTCAGGAGCAGGAGGGGCAGGGCAAGGGGTCTTGAATTGCCTAGCCAAGCATGCTTGGTTGTTTCCTGTCCTGCTTCCTAGGCGGGAGGCCACTTGAGGCTGCAGATTTGCTTTTTTCCTCCCATCCCTGTTTGTTTGGGGCTTTCTTTTCTCTGTTTTTCTCTCTGTCATTCTTGCACGATGGCTTGTGCAAAGTTGGTTTTCACTGTGGTAGAGATGTCTGTGTGCTGAGGGTCTTCCTGGGCGGTGACTCCCAGGGAGCACAAGCACAGCTGCCACATCCTCGCAGGGTTTGTGGCCCAGCTCTGGCCACGGGCAGCTGTGCTTTCCTGCCGTGGAGGCTCTGCCGGTGTAATTCCCGGCCTGTCAGGGTGCACCAAGCATTGCACTCAGGCGGTGCTGCCTCCCTGGGGAGGTTTGAGTGCTCACATCAGTCCCCCCACAACACAACACAACACAACAGGGCACCTTGCCAGGGCTTAAATAGACAGTTGCTTTTTTGGCCGGCTTTTGCCACAGACCTGGTGGCTACAGAGCGTTGCCTCTGCACTTCTTTGCCTCTCTCTCCGTCGCTGGAGCTTGGGATGAGTGAAGAAGCGGCTCGTAAAGCTGCTGAGCATTCTTGCTCTGCTAAGTCCCTGTAAGTTCTGTAAGATCCCTGCGGAACACTGCTCTGATCTGAGACTTCTCTGGCTCTTGCTCTTTCCCAGGCCTTTCTGCAAAACTCTCATGGCAGTGCTGAGCAAATGCACTGAGAAGAGCTGGCTGAGGCCGTTCTGGAGGCAGAAAATGTCGGCGCTGCTGGAGAGCCCCCGCACTTATGCCGAGGGCATGTGCCTCCTGACGAGGTGAGAGCCCCAGGGCAGCATCTCGCCTTCTTCTCGGTGGCTGCGCCCAGGGGAACGGCTGCCGGGGCCCGTTCCTGCGTGCTCGGGGAGCTCTGTGCAGGGCAGAGCAGCGCCTGTGCTGGAGGAGGGCAAGTCCGCGGTGGCAGCCTGCAGCCTTCCCACTTGACCGGGCGTTGCCCCTTGTGCTCTTTGTGCAGTGTCCTGCTCCGTGCCCAGCTCATCTCCCGGGAGCTGATTGAGATCTTCTCCCAGTGGTTGCGCTACCCATCAGCAAACCTGCAGCTGACGGCCATGGCTTTCTTTGCTGAGGTGAGGCAGTAGGAGGGCAGGGGGGCTCCCCAGGGCTTTTCTGAAAGACATTGCTGCTTGGGCTGCCTCTTGCTGTGGGGAGAGATGAGAAGCAAGCGTCCCCATCGAGACTCCTTTGTGCGAAGCCTGCTTGTGTGCTGTGCCTGGGCTGAGGTTGTGTCCTGACTCTCGTGGCTGTGTTGCTCTGTTGCAGCTGATGAAGGAGCCGCCTCTTGAGAAGAGGAACGTCCTGAAGATTCTGCGTGTCTTGGCTGAGAAAGCACAGCACCGAAGCAGCACCATAAGGCAGCTGGCAGCGAGAGCTCTGGGCAACGCAGCCGGCAGCATGCCCGTGGAGGTGAGACGGATTTCCCTGCACTCTGACTGCAGGGATATTCCCCTCCCTAGCAAGACCCTGGGGGAGAGCTGCTTCAAGGGCCTGGACAGAGCGGCAAAGGCAAAAGCAGGGCTCCTTTCCCTGATGCCAGCAGGGCTGCCGAGGGCAAATTGGGTGCCAAACGTCAGAGTAAAAAAGTCTGTGCACGTCTTTGGCTTTGCAGGTGCGGAAGCACGGGAGACAAGTTGTCCAGGTGCTGCAACAGAGCCTGGCGGACACTGCCTGTCCCGAGGTGGTTGCAGAAAGCATGCTGGCGCTAGCTGAGCTCGTGAGGGTGCTGCAGGCAGTGAACTTGGGATCGGCCTTTGAAGACATCGCCAGGGCCACCAAGATGTTCTTCGAGTCTGTGAGTGAAGCCAGCTCTTGCTGCCGCTGCTCTGAGAAGCGTGGGGTGGGCAGGGGCCTGCACGCGCTGCCTGGATGGCCTCTGCTGGCTGAGTGCCTGCTTCGGCCTCGTTACCCAGCTGACAAACGGCTTTCTGCTTGCAGGAAGAAGAGTACCTTCGCTACTCGGCCTTGCGCCTCTATTCAGTCCTGGCCTCCTCAGCCTCGAGCAAGCGGTCGTTCTTTGCCGGAGAAGTGGCGGAAACATGGGTCAGCCTTTTCCTGCACCTCCGGGATCCCGACGTTGCAGTTGCCAGCGTAAGTGCCCTTGGAGGTTGCTCCCAAAGCCCCAGAAAGCTGCGTGGCCACGGCCCAGGCGTGGCTGGCTGAGCTCCCTGGGCAGGTCCCACACACGCTGCTGGAGGAGGAATGACGGCACAACTCTCTTTTTCAGATGTGCAAGATCACCTTCAGTCTCTGTGCTCCATTTATGGGGCTGAGGCGGCCACAGGACATCATCTCTCTCTGCGAGAGGCTGGGTGCACAAGAGCTGCAGGATGCGCTCTGCACTTACCTGGTAAGGAAGCTGTGCTCCAGCGAGACGTCAGGGCCCTGTGGCCCTGCCCTGCCTCTCCCCTTCCCCCTGCCCCAGCTGGCTGAGGGGCAACAGAAGGCATCTTTCTGGACCCTGTGAACTTGTGCCTTCCTGTCTTGCCCTAGGCCAGAAACGCCCCCCCCATGTTGGAGAGGCTCCATACCGTAGCCAGGAGAGGCTTCCTAGAGAACGGGCAGAGGCTGCACCCATCGACCTTCGAAATCCTTGGTGAGAGCCCGCACTGGAACTTCCCACTCCCTTTCCTGACCAGGGAGCTGTAGGGGCCTCTGCTTTCTCTTTGCTCTTTCCTCCGGGCCCTGCCTTTGCAGAACAGGGCACACACCGTGCTGTGTCCCATGGCTGAAGATGGGGTAGACAGGGACGCAGGGCTTTGCCTTGCAACCTGCCTCCGAGTTCCTTCAAAAGCTTGAGCAAGCATCGAGGAGTGATCTGGAGATCAGGGATCCAGCAAGCATCAGGAGTGATCAGGGGGCACAGCTGCCTGGGCTGGCTGCTCACAGCTCTGTCTGTCTTGTTGCAGCTTTCCAGGGCCCGAGCAGCACTGAGGACACCCGAGCGTGGAGAAGGCAGACAAGGCCCTAGGTGACCGTGGCACCCTTTGGCAATAAAACTCTGTACATGTACGTGGTCTCAGCGCTCGCTGTGTCCTTGGGGAAATCCAACTCCACGTGGCCTCCCCTCTGCGGACAAAAGGTCTTTTTCGTAGGGCCCGGGGAGCAAACGACGCCCCTCCAAATTTGTTTCCTCCCTTAAAAAGAAACTTAACTTCCTTAACTTCCCTGAAAAAGAAACTGCTTGCCACTCCTCTTCCCAACGTGTCCAATTCATGAGAAGCGCAGAGAACGTATACTACTCTAACCTGGATCTTAACTTTTTCCCCCAGGTTTCACTAAAGAGCCCTTTGCACCCTTTGCACATTCCAGGAACTCATCTTGGGCATCTTTGGAAAACTGCTCTCCAAAGCAGTTCTCAACATGCGCTTCTGGGATGGTTTTACTCGGGTGGGCAGCTGAGCTCCACCACAACCACTCTCTCACTCCCCCTCCTCAAAGAGGAACAGGGAGAAAAGAGGATGCAAAGGGCTTGAGGGTTGAGATAAGGACGGGGAGATTGCTCAACAATGATCGTGACAGGCCAGAGTAGGGAGACAGTCACATTTATTGCCTTTTCCTAACAAGCTAGAGAAGCGAGAAACAAAGGAAAGAAACCCAAAAGGCCATCCACCCTCTTCCACCTCCTCCCCCCAGGCGGCGCAGGGGAATGGGGGCTGTGGTCAGTCTATGGCACTTCACTGCTCCTTCTTGGTCACTCTTGTCCTCTGTGCTGTGGAGTCGCTCCCATGGGATGCCATCCTTCCCAAACTGATCCTGCGGGTGCCTTGGTTGTAAGCATCTTGGTGCTCTGAACAAGAGAACTAGGTGGGGAAACAAGATTTTATACATACCTATGAGTAGGCAAAATTGCATTAAAAAATCTCTCCATCATCAATTTCAGCTCATAACAAAACCGCAGAAAATATACACAGGAGACTCCAAACTTCATCTTTACCGCACAGGTCAAAAATGGGGCAACAATGCTAAAATCAGAAGAATAGCTTCCTAGGATCTGACCAAAGGTTCATCTGCTCCGCTGTTCTGTACCCAACAGCAGCAAAAAGCAGTTGTCTAGAGAACAGAATAAAAATAGGACAAGCACATAATACCTCCCCTAGGTACCTTCCTGCTATTCAAGCCATTTGCAGCTCAGGACTCTTTGAGCCACCCATGGTATTTTATGTGACATACTTCTCATTGGACTTCTATTCCAAGAATTATTCCAAACTCTGCTTAAACCCATGGAAACTTTTAGCATACACCAGCATCTACAGCAAAGATTCTTCATATTGTCTGAAGAGCAATTTATTTGCTTCGAGCCTCTTCTGTCTGATGTAAGTTCCTCACATTCCTTTCTATCGCAATAGACAATTTAGTCTGTTAGGTTATTAGTCTCTAAACACTATGCCTATGCCTGTGGTGATTTTGGAGACCTTGCATCTCCAGTAAGACTTAATTTTTCCAGGATAGAAAGTCCTATTATATACATGTGCTCGTTTTATTGTTTCCCTCCCATATTGTATACTTTTGGAGATGTGGGGAATCAGAAACATAGTTTTAATGATGTTGGGAAACTATGGAGCCAGTGGCATGGAAGTTTTAGTTTTCTACTCCTTCCTGCTTATTTATTTATTTATTTATTTATTTATTTATTGAATGAATGAATGCTATGCATTGAATGGATACTTTTATGGAAACTGTCAATAATGGGGAACAAGGCCTTGCTCCTGAGTGGCACATGCCAGCTCAGAGTCAATCTGCCTGTGTTTGAAACAAGGACTCTTTTTCCTGTGTGCATCATTTACCTGCACTGATTTTATCAGCCATTTTATTGACTGGTCACTCAGTCTTACAAGGTCTTTCTGACCTCATTTCTAACACCTTCCCTCATCCTCACTAATCTGAATGTCTTCATATATAAGCAAACTATTTTATCTCATTGCTTCTCTCCCTTTCCAGGTAGTTGCTGAACACAAAAGAAAATGCCAATATGAATTACTGTAGAATTCCACTGGTGACTTCCCCTTACAGCTTCCCTTCCTATCTTCTCATCAATCATTCTTCCATGCAGGGACATTTTTATCCCCATTGTTTTGAAATTACAGTCCAAATATGGTAAAATATAGAAAGGCAAAAAGACCCAAATCTGCCAATCTGGCCAATGCCCACAGACTTCTTGTCATTGCCGATTTGTGAAATGTTGAATTTCCCAAAGAAATCAAGAAACCCCAAACATTTGATTTTTCAAATGAAACGGCAGGTGCAGACAACAAACGTATCAAAACCTAAGATACCTGTTCATGTGACTTTCCTATCATCCAAGTCTTTCACCTTCTAGAAGAGATATTTCATGACTCTTCACTCACAGGAACTTGTGTGGAACAAGTTGTGAACTTGTTCATAATGAGTGGTTAGTATACAATTTACTTATAACAAGTGAATAAGACATTGTTAATGTTAGCTACCAGAACTACATTTAGCTACATGTTTATGTGTAACATAGACATGTCTGCATTTAGCATCATGTTGTTCTTGACCCTTTGTGTTGTTGCTCTGTTGTGGTAGCTCTGTCAGACATACTAGATTAAACCTATGAGGAAGGATACCATTTTTATCTGACCCAACACAGGTTGCAAAATTCATCTGTAAATAGATCTATTTATATAGCAACAGAAAGTTAGTAACAGAACAAAGACATCAAGGGTTTTTTCTCTCTTTAAATGCTGTGTGAGTTAACTGTGGTTTAATAGATCTGAATCTGAAAGCAAGTTTTGTTGCAGAATTTTTCAGAAATATGATGGTTCAAAACAGAGAGTCACTGTAATGTTTTGGTGGCTCAAAGATGTCTTTGTTTTGCTTTTAAAGCATTTAACAAGAACTGTGTCTTAAATTTAAAGCCTTCAAGGAGATACTGTGGGAAAAGACATACAAGAACTACTTTAAATTCCATTTTTTCTTGTATGCCATTCCTCCATGTTTATGCATTACACTTACTATAAATTTCTGAAATATTCTTTGGTATTTTGATTAGGGTCAGGTCTCCTGCCTCAGAGGTGGAAGATTTAAGTACTGGCGCAGAGAGTCAGTATTTCATTAGAGTTAGAAGTTAATCTGAATACAGTATAATAACTTCAACCTTAAATACCATTCAACCATACAAAAACTAATTCCTGGCCTCCAAACTAAACTGAGAATATAGGACTGAGAAAAGAAAGATGATAAAACAAATCTTCCTCCCTTGCTTTTCTAGCCTACTTGCAAATCCAGCCAAAATATGTTAGAGGTTAATTTTTAAAATGTCAAAACAATTTTTGACATTCAGTTTGTCTGGATTTTTTTTTAAGCTAATGGCCAAATAAGTCCAAAAATTGCTACCAGCTTCCGAATGATCAACTGCTCACTGAAATGGTTGCCCAGATATGTTCTGTGTTTTCATTTACTTTTGTTGTTGTTGTTATAATGATTACAAGAATCTTGGATTATGTTTTATAATATTAATAAAAAAGTTTAGTTTGATCCAGAACATCATAATTTTCCCCATTCACTCTTCCAACCATTTCTTTTACAGCTTGGAGGACGTTGGCCGTAAATCGGTAAGAACAATGAAAGGGCTTAAGATTTACGAATATCCTGCTACAAAACAGTAGTATTAGTAAAACATTGTTTTAGAAATTTGAAGCATGAAGGACAAGGGAAAGCTGATTTTGAAGTCTCAGAAAGAAATCTGAACGTGAAACACCAGAATAGTTGCTATTAAGATGTGTAGAGGCTTAGAAAAGGAGTGCTTGAACAAGAGGAAAGTGAACTGCTTCAGGGCAACAGGAGTAAGAGAGAAATAGAGCCAAAGTTGCTATCCAGAGGCCATCAAAAAAGGAGCAGAGAAGAATAGTTTCCAGTCAGAAAGAAACATGGTAAAATGGCCGTAATTGCAGTAGTGATTAATGTATTCTGGCACTAGTGACCTTAGCTTTCCAAGTCTTCAAAGGGTATGATTAAGATTTTTGGTAGAAACACTGTAGTCGGAGTATTCATAAAACAATCCTCTTTAATTTCATTGGTCTATAAGTTAGGTGTTATTTACCAAGAAAAATGTAAGGTTATGTTCCTTGTTTCTGATGGTTATGACCTTTAACTAATGTGGCAATCGTTGCTGCTAATGTTAGGATTCAACGGTGATTTTCTATTCACAGATACTTTTCAGAAACATTTCCATCACAGGCAAGAACTCCTGTTGGCATAAGTGGACAATTCTCATCATAATTTCATGTAACAAATCTGAACTTTGGCTTATCCTTCAAAAAAAAAAACAAAAACAAAAACAAACAAACAAACAAAAAAACCTTCTGAGTTGTCCTTAAAATAAATGTAGCTACATTTATACATGTAATAATATTCCTTGAAGTAAAGAACAGAACAATAACCAGTACAGCCGAAGCGATCGGCTCCAGGGCAGACGCGTTCTGCAGCAGAGTGGGGGATTGGACAGGCAGGGATAATTTTTCCAGCACTGAGCCCACTCAAGGGAGCCACCAGGACCCGGCAGACCTAGTGAGGGAGGTGAAGGAGGCGAGAACGAGACGTAGGCGTTCGCAATGACCAGGAACATGGCGAACAAGACGGGCAAACAGGGCGTGGTGCGTCAGAAGGGAGTGGCGCAGCAGTTGGCGCAGCAGTTCACAAAGGCAAGGCGAGCAGGCAGGGCAGCGCCCTCCCCCCCGCCCATACGAACACCTCCTCTAACAGTGGTCTACCACTAGCTCAGCTGCAATGGTCTCCACCAGGCACAGTGCGCTCTCCAGGAAGTCTGTACACACCCAGTCTGACTGCCCGCTCAAAACTGCGGCAGTTCAGGTCTCCTGGTGCAGGGAGTGCCTGAGCCTGTTGCTACCACCTGCGGGGGGCAAAGGGACTGTGTGTGAGGTGTGAGCAGGTGGGCGACCTGGTCTGCCTTGTGGCAGAACTCAAGGACGAGTCAAGAGGTTGAGGGATATCAGGGAGTGTGAGCGGGAGATAGACTTGTGGAGCAACTCCCTGCGCAGCCTGAAGGACACGTACCGGGGAGAGACCCCCAAATGGGGGTGGACCCCCTGCCCTGCTGCTGTCAGGCAGAGGACCTAGGAGTTGAGGAGGAATGGAAACAGGTCCCTGCTCGGCATCGCAGGCGATGCCCCCTCCTACAGGCCCCACCTTCCCAGGTGCCCTTATGCAACAGGTTTGAGGCCCTGCAGCTTGAGAGACCGGTAACTGAGGAAGAGGTGGAAAGTCTACCCAGGAGGATGCCTAGGGCAAGGAAGTCGACTCCACGCCTCAGGACTGCCTCCACCAGGACAGAAAGAAGGGTGATTGTTGTGGGCAACTCCCTTCTCAGGGGAACAGAGGGACCTATTTGTCCGCCTGACCCTACCCATTGGGAAGTCTGCTGCCTCCCTGGGGCCAGGGTCAGGGACATTGCCAGAAAGCTTCCCAACCTGGTTCGCCCCTCTGACCATTATCCTCTTTTAATAATCCAGGCTGGCAGTGATGACACTGAAGAGAGAAGCCTGAAGACTATCAAATGGGACTTTAGGGGACTGGGACGGTTAGTGGATGGAGCAGGAGTACAGGTGGTGTTTTCGTCCATTCCTACGGTGGCAGGGAGGGGTACAGAGAGGACACAGAATGCCCACCTAATAAACACATAGCTCAGAGGCTGGTGCCAACACAGAAATTTTGTTTTTTTTTGACCATGGGGCGCTTTACTCAGCACCCGGCCTGATGGCCACAGACAGATCCCTATCTCTAAGGGGAAAACGGATCTTAGTCCAGGAGCTGTCAGGGCTCATTGAGAGGGCTTTAAATTAGGTGAGAAGGGGGACAGGGCTGAAACAAGGCTTGTTAGAGCTGTGCCAGGGGTAACAATGGCAAGGCTGGGAGAGAAGGCAATGTCAACTGGTGGTTAGCAAATGTGACGCCCATCTACAAGAAGGGCCAGAGGGCAGACCCAGGAAACTATAGGCCTGTCAGTTTGACTTCAGTGCCAGGGAAGCTCATGGAGCAGATTATCTTGAGTGTCATCACGCAATACTTATACTGCGGGTCACTAGTGGCATTCGCCAGGGCTCAGTACTGGGGCCGGTCCTCTTTAATATCTTCATCGATGATCTGGACGAGGGGATCGAGTGCACCCTCAGTAAATTCGCAGATGACACCAAGTTAGGTGCGTGTCTCGATCTGCTCGAGGGTAGGAAAGCTCTGCAGGAGGATCTGGATAGGCTGCACCGATGGGCTGAGGTCAACTGCATGAAGTTCAACAAGGCCAAGTGCTGGGTCCTGCACCTGGGGCGCAATAACCCCAAGCAGAGCTACAGGCTGGGAGAGGAATGGTTGGAGATCTGCCAGGCAGAGAAGGAGCTGGGAGTGATGGTTGATAGTCGGCTGAATATGAGCCAGCAGTGTGCTCAGGTGGCCAAGAAGGCCAACGGCATCCTGGCTTGTATAAGAAGCAGTGTGGCCAGCAGGGCTAGGGAAGTGATTGTCCCCCTGTACTCGGCTCTGGTGAGGCCGCACCTCGAGTACTGTGTTCAATTTTGGGCCCCTCG